GTTGAGGGACACATAGATTCCAACCAGTATCAGCAGATTCTGGAGACCAGTGTCCAGGAATCAGTGACAAAGCTGAAGCTGCTTCCCCAGACCTGAATATTATTGAAAATCTGTGGTGTCACTTAAAGAGAGCTGTCCATGCTCAGAAACCATCAAACCTGAATGAACTAGAGATGTTTTGTAAAGAAGAATGGTCTAAAATACCTTCAGACACAATCCAGACTCTCATTAGAAGCTGTAGGAAGTGTTCAGAGGCTGTTATTTCTGTGGAAGGAGGAACTAGTAAATACTGAGTTATGTTTTTTTTTGGTGCCCAAATGTATGCACCTGCCTATCTTTCACTGAATAAAAATGGGTTTATGAAGTTTCTAAATCAGTGCATTCTGTTTTTTACATTTTACCCAACATTACGTCATCTTTTGTAATTATAGTTGTAACCAAATGAATATGCTTGTCTGACCTCAGCTGTTGCTTTCAGACTACAGCTTTCTTCACATTATTCTCCAGGAATGACCTGCAGACAGGAAAAAGTGTTCATTACCATCTTCATCATCATCAAAAGTCAGTGGAATTCTGCTTAGCTAAGACAGAACATGTTACATACAGCAGGATGAAAAAATATTCACCTCCTTCCGTGTTGTGTTTTGTTTGTCTCACAACTTATAAAAAAAGAATAAATGTATTAAAGTGCCTGTGACATCAAATTATTGTAATAAATACCAACGCATTTTTGTAAAAACAAGAATGAAATATTGCAAAAGAAATTTCATGAGATATTCACATGTGAAGGAACATGAAGGAACAGGAAGTGATGTCAAAGGGTGTATGTGAACAGAGCAGTGCTACAACAGCTAACACAGACTGTAGAGAAGAATCTGATGTTTCTTTGGATTATTTTGAGTCACTATCAGAGAAGAAGAGTCAGCAAACAATATTATAATAATAAACAAAGACCAGAGAGTTTTCTTTCTTAAAGTGTTCCCCTTTGATGTCACTTCCTGTTTCACTTTAGCTGAGACCAGCTCAAAACGAAATCTGTCATTTTTGTTACAAACTGGGTAAAATCAAGTGCATTAGGCCAAGTTTCTCAAATACTGTATAAAGATGTTTTCTTTGACTTTTTGTATTTGAAAGATATGCATGTCTAAAAGTAATAAACTGAGCAAAATACTTCAGATTATTCAAGTTAAATAGAGAAATTCAATTCAATTCAAAAATACATTATTGATCCCAAAGGGAAATTAGGTGTTGTTGTAACTCATATAACTAAAGACTTATTGTGGATGGTGATGGCTGTGGGCATGTAGCGTCTATATTACAACCAAACTGAAGAAGCCTCCGACTGAAGACTGTTTTTATACAACAGTCTGATGAAGAGGATGGTCAGGGTTGTCCTCAATATTCTTGATTTTATGTAAAATCCTTCTTTGCTCCATCATCTCCAGAGGTTCCATGGTCGTCCCCAGAACAGAGCATAGGGG